TAGAGAATTCTGGGAGTTGAGGTCCACTCATCTTAAAGCATGCTGGCTGGGGAATTTTGGGAGTTGAATTCCACAAGTCTCAAAGTTGCCAGTGTTCGGTATTCGTGGCTAAAAGCAAGAGATATGATGCCTCCCTACATTTTGGAAGTCCTTTTTGCAATGGCTTTTAAAATATACTGGTCTGGGAGACTGTGACGGACAGGTGCCATGTAGAAGAGTAAGAAAACATCAAAGACAGAAAAAGAACATACAAGGTACCTCATTCTCAGCATAATGCAAATCCATCAACTGCCCGAAAGCATCCATGACTTTCTGCAAAACATCTTTGTACTTAACCGGCCTCTGGAACTGGATAATCCTGCAGGAGGAGGATGCGTTTTGGAAAACAGTTAACACCATCCTACCAATATCGTCAAGGTAGTCCTTGACTTACAACAGTTTGTTTAGTGACGGTTCGAATTTACAACGGTCACTAAAACGTGAGTTATGACCTTTTTTGACCGTTGCAGCATCCCCATGGTCATGTGTTCAAAATTCAGATGCCTGGCAGCTGACTCATATTTATGACGGCTGCTAAGGGCTCATGTCATCCTTTTTTAGGACCGTTTGACAAGGAAAGTCAATGGGGAAGCCAGATTCATTTAACAACCGTGTTACTAGCCCAACAGCTGCAGCGTCTCCCTTGACAAGTAAGTTGTAAAATGGGGCAAAATTCACTTAACAACTGTCTTGCTTAGCACCAAAAAATTCAGACACAACTGCGGGCATAAGACAAGGACTACCATAGTAGTCGTGCCTTTTCATCCAAAGCTGAGAAATTCTGCCCTTCTATTCAATTCTTAACAAACCAAGTGCATTTAACAAATTGGTACAGCTGCATTTTAATCTTATCGCGGTTGGAATGAAGAATGTAGGCTGCAAAGTGTCATTTGCTGAGTAATAATTTGGATTTTAACTGAGACTCTTTCTTTTGTTTTTGGTTCCATCTACTGTCCACCATCCAAAGTTGCAAAATTGATTAGAAGGACCACATTCAATGCTTTAAATTAAATTAAATTAATTTTCAATGGGAGCGGCACGTAAGCGTGAGGGAATAAATGAAAATATTACCCACATTTCAGTACTATATAATCATTCTGTACGGATACTTGAAGGAGGAAAACTTTCTGAGGAAAACACCCAAATAAAGGAAAGAATGTTGGGCTTTATTTACGTATGAGTTATACGGTTTTTGAGGTTCAGCAAAAACAAGCAAAATATCTAAACCTGATAGACCCAGGTCCCGAGTCACTTGTAAGGGGGAAATTTAATGAATAAATAAAGTAAATAAATGTACCTTTTTTCTCCATCATGCTCAAACTTGATCCTGGCATTCCGCAACTATTGAATAAAGGAGACAGAAAACCATTAACTAGGATACCTATGGATACCTATGGTTATGGAATAGATAGATAAATGGATAGATGATTGATAGATAGATAGATAGATAGATAGATAGATAGATAGATAGATAGAT